ACCCAGGGCAGGTGCAGCCGAGCTTATCGATAGATAGATCGATAGGTACCAGCGCGGCGCGTCACCTGCATGAGTCCCATGTCGATGAGGCGCTCGACGATAGCCACACTCATCGCCGCCCACTTGTATCCTGCTGATACAACTACTGACCAGACTTGCGTCAGAGCCCATGGATTCAGGCCTCAACTTCTGGGGATCACGCTTTTGGTCCTCTGACCCTACTCGCCCATAAAACGCACCCATCCAGCGCAGCACGGCCACGCGCCCCGCCCGTTGGCTCAGCGCAATACCGCACAACGACCATGATGGCTTCCAACCTGCTGTCCAGACTCCTTCCCTCTGCCTCAGACGATCTCTACGAGAACGAACCGCTAAACACTACACACCACCGTGACTCTGTCTCGACTGAGGAGCAGCACGAGATGGACATAGACGAGGAGAACTTTGGTGCTCGCTTTGAGGAGCAGGACCTGGCGCACTTGCTTGAGGAAGCGTCCTCCAGCCAGATGACGACCGAGAGCCGCGCAGTCTCTCCAGATGCCAAACGTAACGCACCACCAGGCATCAACACAGCAGGTCGCATACCCGCGTGGAGACAGCCTGCGCCAGCCCGCACTGCGCCTATCGACGATGACGACGATGTTCCCCAGTCCCTGCTGCTCGAAGGCGGACATGGGCCAGCACCGGGTTCAAGTAAGCGCGGTGAAGGTCTTCCCATGCCTGTACCAGGCCCGTCAACGCGACAGACACGGGCGCAGTGGGATGCTACCCGCACACAGCAACGACTTCACGACGACGACAGAAGAGGGGCACCTTCACAACCTTGGGGGCATACCAGTAGACCTGGACACTTCGCGGCAGATCCTCGGGAGAAAGCCTTGTGGCTTTGGGTAAATCAGACGGATCTGGATAACTATATGACTGAGGTCTATGAGTACTACGTTGGTTGTGGCATATACTCGATCCTTCTGAGGAAGGTCTTGACGCTTCTGCAAACAGCATTTGTGGTGGGCTTCATGACATTTCTTGGATGGTGTATCGACTACTCCAAATTTCCTGACAGCAACAAGATGAGCCAGGTCTTGGTACCAAAGTGTGCTGCGAGGTTAGCTCTTCTTTCCGATACCACAAAGTTTCAACTGACAGTACATAGAATACACGGCTTTTGGATACTGGCCCTCTGGCTCTTCGTCATATATTGGCTCTACTCATTCTACAACATGGTCACAGACATACCTCGGCTGCGAGCTATGCACGATTTCTACCACTATTTATTGGACATTCCCGACTGCGACATTCAAACGATACAATGGCAGCAAGTCGTCACACGCATCATGGCGTTACGAGATTTGAACTTGACTACTGCTTCCAATCTGTCACCAGAAACACGCAAGTTACTCGACTCGAAAAGCAGGCAGCGCCTGGATGCTATTGATATCGCAGGCCGCCTCATGCGCCGTGATAACTATCTCATTGCCCTATTCAACAAGGAGATACTTGACGTCACTGTCCCCTTGCCCTTCCTGGGCAACCGCTACATCTTCTCCGAGACTACCAAATGGCATGTCAACCTTGCCATTATGGACTTCGTCTTCAGCGGGCCAAATGGCCAATTTAACCCAGACTTCCTCAAGGAACGCAACCGCCGGGAGCTCGTGAAGCGATTGAAGACACGTTTCTTCTGGACCGGCATTATTAGTATTCTTTGCGCCCCTTTTGCCGTGGTTTTTGTGCTGGCCTCATACCTGTTCAAATACTTCACTGAATACCACAAGGACCCAGGCCAGCTCAGCAATCGGGACTTCACGACTTTCGCTCAGTGGAAATTCCGCGAATTCAACGAACTTCCTCATTATTTTGCCCGTCGCCGTAACATGGCCTATCCATACGCGAATCTCTACCTCGCCCAGTTTCCGAAAGACAAAACTGAGCAGCTATCATCATTTGTCGCATTCATTGCAGGTGCTTTCGCATTCGTCCTCGTATTATTTACCCTTCTCGGCTCCGAGTTGTTTCTCAACTTTGAAATCACACCTGGCAAGACAGCTATCTTCTGGATTGGTATCCTTACTACGGTATACCGCGTCGCAAGGGGAAGCAGCCCTCAGGAAGACCAAGTCACAGACCCGGCCTACTACCTCAACCATGTCATCTATCACACACGCTATGAACCCGAATCATGGCGTGACAGACTACATACTGACGAAGTCCGCGCTGAGTTCACCAAACTATACCAACCCAAAATCCTCATATTTGCCGAGGAGATTTTGAGCATGGTTGTCACTCCATTCCTGCTCATTTTCAGACTACCCAATTGTAGCGAGCGGATTGTCGACTTCTTCCGCGAATTCTCGATCGTCGTCGACGGCTTAGGCGTCACATGTTCCTACTCCATGTTCCCATCCACAAAGACAACCCGTAACGCCAACAACATCCCCGCCAACGGCACCGGCGCCCGCAGAGAAGACCCAGACCTCCGCGAAGATTACTTCATGGCCAAAGACAATAAGATGATGGCTTCCTACTACGGCTTCCTAGACACATACCAGAATTCCGGCCGCGGCTACAACAGCCGTCTACAAGGCCGCAGTAACTTCCATCCCCCACCACAATTCCCAAACACCTTTGGCACAATGTCTCAGACCGCTCAACCAATAGAGATGGGCGCAAAAGCATCAAGCCGAAACCAACCCAGTCGCCAAAACCTCCAGCAAAGAACACCGAGACAGAGACCCATGGCAAGAGACGAGCCCATGACCTCTATGATGCTTGATCCGCACCACCAGCCTTCCTCGGCCTCGATGCTGCGTGGCTCACCTCACCAAGCGGGGACGAACCGGTACCGTACGCCTCTTCAACCAGTGTCGGATGCACCGGGTCCGTCGCACACTCGCATCGAGGAAGAAAGCATGCTTGGTGACTCGTGGCGAACAAGCCGGCTAGCGCAAGACGACGACGATGAAGAAGAGGCGGTTGCACCAGCGAACAATGGTGGGGGAGTCTTGCAGCTGTTGCAGCAGTTTTCTAGAGCCCAGGCTGAAGGTCGGGGCGCGGGTGTTGGCGTTTAATCTTTGTTTCTTGAAGGGAGGTTGGATAACATTCGCATGGAGCGCCTGGGAATCACTGGGCGTTTGTTCAAGTATCTTTTCCTTATTCCCACTCAATCCACAGTTAGCATAGCAGTGTTGTGATTAGAAATAAATGGCACATTATTGCAAACATATTCTCCTGTTTCACCAGTAGCATTAAAGAATCAGGCCTAGATATCTGACATGGGCGATCCTAATCACCATAGCCTTCCATGCAAATGTGCTGGTTGAACTGGGCATGCACTTGACTAGTCTTCATCATACCATCACGTCCTCCTCATACTGCCATGTGGGAAGCAGACATTGTTGTATCATTTGTCATTGTCGGGCTGTTCCTGGTCGTTCTCTACAGTTACATGCCGCAGAGGCTCTCCCTCCAGCCTTCATCCATAACCGATGAAGAAAACAAATCACGCCGTAACCGAATTCCCATTGGACCCATGATCATCATGCACAGCAACCCATTTCGCTCAACTCAAAATCTAAGCAGATGCTTCGAAAGCGGTAGGGAAGCGGCGGATGTTGTCGGCAAGGTTACCCTTGTTGCGGAGGAACTGAACGTAGGCACCGTCGATCTTGACCTTACCCTCCTGGCGCTGCTGGACGTACTCCTCGCGCTTGAGAGGGGTGAATCCCCAGTTCTTGGAGACGATGATCTTCTGGCGACCAGGGAACTGGAGCTGGTTAGTTTCGAAACATTACTAGTATGTATTTTTTATCCACATACCTTGTACTGGCAACGCCTCAGAGCCTCGAGAGCAATAGCGCGGTTAGAGTCCCTAGTCCTGACGGACATGAGGATCTGACCAATGTTGACACGAGCGACAAGACCGTTGGGCTTGCCGAAAGCACCACGCATACCGGTTTGCAATCTATCGGCACCAGCGCAAGACAACATCTTGTTGATACGGACGACGTGGTAGGGGTGGACACGGACACGGAGATGGAAAGATTCCTTTCCTCCGCTCTTGACCATGTACTTGTTGGCGCAAATACGGGCGGCTTCGAGAGCCTCGGAAGACAGCTGCTCGTACTCGTTGGAGACCAAGTGGATGCAGAGAGGGAAGTCGTCTACGTTGGCCTTCTTGCGACCGAGGTCGAAGATGCGGATCTTGGCATCGGGTACACCACGGTTGAACCTGCTCTTGGGGTACTGCAACCCAGTCAGCCTATTGTCCTCCTCTCCTTGTATCTCCAGTCTGACGTACGGGCTTGTTCTTGCAGTAGCGGTAGCAACGGGCGGGACGGCGGGCCATTGTGACGGTTCTTCCTGCTTTGAAATCAATGAGCGGATGTTCGGAGAGCGTCGAAAACGAGAAAGAGTGAGTGTGTGCGCAAACTGATAAAGATGTCAGTAAAACGTCTGCCAGAGAATTTGATTGCGACAGCCGTACCTTACCCTTTATTTGAGTGTTAGTGGGGAGGTGTCGGAGGGCGAAGTCGAGGGAAGTCGTCAGTGGTGATTGCTAATCACAATATTGCGCAGCACACGCCAAGACCCGATTAAGCGAGCGCATTGATTTCCAAGCAGGTAAGCGCCACTCAACGTGCAATCCTGGGGATCCGTGGCAACGGATTGCGATCATTATGTTATACGCGCCTCTTCTGAAACAATACCATGTAGACAAGTGACATTGTCTTCTGTTTCACTGCGCATACAAGATACACAAAATGGACTCGTGAACATCACTTATTGCCTGCTCAAACTCGCGGACGGCTTGCGAGACGTCGTTCTGTCTCAATGACATAGTTAGAGCACGGACAGGCTAGTCATAATGAGTCACATTGCAGAGGGTAGATCAAGAAGATGGCTCATGAATCTTGTCATTCATTGGATATCATCAAGGCCGAGCATACGCCGCACCCTAGGTATCATGTCTAACTGATTTTTTCCCCACGTGCTGTACCAATCTAGTTCTCGGTGTTGGTGCTCAGGATATCAGAGTCACCTATATACTGTCAGTGGATCGCGTCGATGTGCAGAAGCCGAACAAAAACATACCAGCGTCGAGGATGGACATGACGGAGCAACGGAAGAGCTTTCCGCAAGCAGTTCCAAGCTCAATCTTCAATCAAGTTAGCTGACAGCTCTCCATGGCCATGATCGGACCAATTCTCAGAGCCAGCCCTCGGAGACAAACCAGTACAACGAACCCTATTACTGTCCAATTCTGTCCCTATAGTGTAGGCCGAGAATATCTGAACTCATGTATAACATGTTCCGTTGTACGGCCATCTCGTCGTTAGGCAATGAGAGAAGGTGGAATGTATACGTACGTTGTTTCCGGAGAAGTGGTGGACAGAGGTCTTGGAAAGCATAGCGTAGTCTGAAGTGATGTTAGCCATGTTTTTTTTTGAATTGCGAAAACCATGTTACTTACACTCGAGCTCAGACTTCCTCAGAGGAGGAGTGTTTCCGGCAATGATGACGAGCTTGGCCTTGCCAGTGCGGAGGCTCTTGAGGGTGGACTTGTAGCCGAGGGTGACCTTACCGGACTTCATCACAAGCGCAAGGCGCGAGTTGATGGAGTCGGCGGTTCTCTTGTTCTTCTTGGGGGCCATCGTTGCACGTAGGAAGTTGTCTGGGAAATTCCTAAGGGTGTTGTTGTGCTCCGGTCGTGAGTTGTGGAAGTTCGCCAGGTAGTGCGCTCACAAAATTCTGTGGGCGAAACGACGCCAAGATTTGCACTAAGCTCCATAAAATCATGACTAAGCTACCACATCCGCGAGCATCGTTTTTAGAACTAATCGTTTAAGTCTTAAGTTCGGTAGGTAATTTTACTTTGATGCTTATAAAGCCTGTCGCATTTGAATTAGGCAAACAGAACAGCAGTGAAATGTACGTGATGCGCTTGCATAACTTGTAACATTGTTTAGTATTGATTGAGCACAGCTTATCTATTGAAGAACTGATGTTTGGACATTGAGCACCCAGCTAATACAAGAAGTCAAAATGTTTTACTCACACAGCGCTACATCATATGGTATCATTGCACTCTAGTCCAACGTTACACAACAGTAGCCATGAACTCATCACTACGTGATATCCGTCAGATTTTACCCAAATACATCAGCAGTCTTGTCTATGCTGCTGCTCTTTGCGTCTGTCTTCCTCCCCGAGTTGGGGCCGAGACAGCACCAGGTCGATTGAGAGTGTATTTGGCAAAGGCTCTTGCCAAGGCCTTCTTCGCGCTGACCTTCTGCGAGCCAACAAAAGAGTCGACCGCGACAGCAATAGCGCGATCAATATCTACTGATGAGCAGTAGTCGGATAAACGCATCTTGCAGAAGGATTCTGCGATACGCAATATAGCCTCAAGATGACGGACCTGATAACATTAGTGGATGGTAAGATCATTTAAAAGCATTCAACTTACAGTGATTGGGTAGGCTCCCGTTGCCATGGACTCTCGACGCATGTCTGCAAAGAGACGCGCAATCTTATCTTGCTCAATCTGGTAGAGCTTGGGTCTGCACCTCTCCCGAGCATAGAGAATGTACTTCCTCAAAAGCTCCTGTGGAATCTCGCCCTCCTTCACTGGAGCATCTCCGTCGACTTCCATCTGATCATCACCATTTTGTGACGCCTTGGCCTTGTCAGAGTAACCATATGCTGAGTTGACAAGAGGGTGTGCTCGACCATGGGAGTTCACCACGAACTTGGCAAGGCGCTCGTCTTCCGCTGGATCGACGGTGTCACGAACAACGCACAGAATGTCAAATCGAGACAGGATAGGCTCTGTAAGCTCCACATTCTGCGAGAAGGGGATTGTGGAGTTGTAGCGTCCACCAATGGGATTGGCAGCAGCTACAATTGAACAACGTGCTTGAAGTGTCGTGACGATACCAGCCTTCGAGATAGAAATAGTCTGCTGCTCCATGGCTTCGTGGATAGAGGTACGATCTTGGTCGTTCATCTTGTCAAACTCGTCAATCAGACAAGTACCCTTGTCTGCAAGCACTAGAGCGCCTCCCTCCAAAGTCCATTCACTTGTCATAGGATCACGACGCACCGAAGCTGTGAGACCAACCGCAGAGGCACCCTGACCGGTGGCGAAGACTGCACGATGGGCGGTCTTCTCAACATACTTCAAGATCTGGGATTTGGCGGTACCGGGATCTCCAAGAAGAAGCACGTTGATATCACCACGAATTGAGTGTCGACCTGGCGCCTCCTTGCTGACACCTCCAAAGAGTGAAAGCGCCACAGCGGTTTTGATGTCAGTATGCCCGTAGATACTTGGCGCAATAGAGCCGATGATCTTGTCGACAATACGCGGGTCTTTGGATAATCTTCGAATCTCCTTCTCGTCATCTTCGGTTAAGCGGAAGCCTGCCAACTGGTCGTGAGACTTGACAATGTAGTTTGCTTCAAGAATGGTAGCGAAGACAGGGAACCCGTTCTTGTTGTTCAAAGCGGCATCGTAGTTATTGCGGTAGATACCTGTGACCTCTATCTCTTCACCAGGCTTTGCAGAGTCAATCAAATCCCAAAGCAGAATAACCTCGCGGTGTCGCGGCAAACGACCAGCTGGAACAGTTCCAGGGGACTCTTGTAAAGTGAGCTTCTGGTAGTTGCGATAGACGGTACGCTCAGAGTTGACTGTGAAAGGACCACGCGATTGGCAGTTCTGACAGAAGGATATCTTGACCTCGACATTGGAGTCCTGGTGGAAGGGTCCAAGTGTGACACCGCACTTGGTGCAGTCAAACTTGACATATTTCAACTGCGGGAAAACTCCGCTTCGACGAGTAACTACTCCGCTGACACGGACAAGGCTGTTGAGATGTGACTGACGAAGCTGGCGGAGAGTGTACTGTACAGGTACGTCGGTAATACGGACATGAATCTCAGAGTGGATGCGCTCGTAGTCTGGGTAGTGAAGGAGAGTCACTTCCATGGCAACCTGGTCGAATATCTTGAGCATTTCAGTTGGCGTGTTCGCAAGCCAGTAGGCTAGCGTGGCCTTCTGCTCTGCCAGATGGTCGAAAGAGACTTCGAGGGACTCAGCGTTGACCTCGCCCAATGTTCGAATGCGGGATCCGTAAACTGAGTGGCCATGCTCATCCGTGTACTCGGTCAAGAAAGACTTGAACTCTCGCGCAATCGTCCTGGCAACCTGTGGTTGGGCAACCCAATCAGTCAACGTATTAGCTTTGACATCGGTGAGCGCTTCAAGCGTCAATTCCTCGTTCATGATGTCATCGGCCATGTCCATATCGTCTTCTTCATCGTAACGGTGTCTCCGAACACGGCGGCGTCCCATTAGACCTGCTAGGCCATCTTGCTCATCGTCGTCTGGCAAAAAGGCAGCAGGCATACGGCGTCTTGCCTCCCTGTCACGAGCGTTCAGGCTTGCATCGAGTTTCCGCCTTTCCGCAAGACTGAGCTCTTCGTATTCGCCTTCATCGTCTATTCCCTGGCCCTCATAGGCATCGTTTTCACGGGCTGCATAATCATTCTCGAAGTCGTCGGCAAAAAGATCGATTCCTTCGGCCTCTTCTGCATCCTCTTCTAGGTCGTCAACATCGCGGATGATGTCGTCTTCGTCAAGCATATCCGCATCATCTTCATTAGGCAACATGGGAGGGGATGAGGCCATGGCTGTGAGCTGTTAGGCGTTTGTTGTGTCCTTTGTTTGCACCGAACTTACGACTGGACGGCGGATGCACAGCTGAGGAGGGAAGGTCTTCATCGTCCCTCGCGCGTTTGTTACTTCTGCCGGCAGGCCCAGCGCCTCGATTTGCGGACGACATGTTGGAGCGAAGGGGTGGGGGTGGTGGTGAGCTGAGTCTTTGTTAGTATTGTGGTATTAGCGGTAAGGAGGGGCTAGAGGTTGGCGCTCGGTGTCTGAGTCGTGCGTGTTTGGGATACGTACCTCATGTTGACTCAATTAACAATTCTCACATGAAGCACGAGACTCTAGTATAGTAATTGGGTACAGCAGTGCGGGGCTGCAGGTGGGAGAGGAGTAGGAGAGGGTCAAGCAACACGACCGCGTCGCGCTTTCCTTTTCCACGCGTAAAGTGGTTTGACTGCAGCCAATCAACGGCCACGCGCATCTTGTGCCATCGATAGGCCTCACAACCCTCCACAACTTGCAATCCCAACAAGTCAGCTTTGGGGCTTTTCAAGCGCTTTGGCATAGACTCAAATCTCCAGCGCCTATTCGGAAATAATATAAAAGCAGTCACCAGTAGGATATTCTGTGATCATGGCTGATTCACAATCCACAAGCATGTCTTCCAAGCCGCGCTCTAGCAGCATGTCGCAAGCATCCGAAAGTTCCCAGACGGCAGCAGAGTATGTTTTCTAGGAGACAACTACGGTGAAATTCGCTGATTGTATTTGAATAGCTTTATCAAAGAGCAGCTTAGCCTCGAGGCAGAAGCACGCGAGGCCCTTCCATATGTGAGTGAGCACACGCCAGATCACCTGTGCACTTGCTGATGCCTGATAGCAATTCGACACTTGCACGCGCGACCTTGGTCCCCTTAGACAAAGCCTCTATGCATGTCTCACTTGCAATCCTGCGCCCGCTTCGTCCGCTCAACAGTACACACCAGCAGGCGTCTGCTATTCATGCTCCATTTCCTGCCATGGCGAACACACGCTCGTTGAACTGTTCAATAAGCGCGACTTCATATGCGATTGCGGCACTACGAGGATACCGGACATGACGCCTTGTACACTTCGCATCAATGCGAAGACTGGGCTGAAAGGCGAGGTGACAGGAGAAGAGCCCGCGAAAACCAACAAATACAATCACAACTTCCAAAACAAATTCTGCGGCTGCGGTCGAGAATATGATCCTCATGAAGAGAAGGGCACAATGTTCCAATGCCTTGGGCTTGGAGGCTGTGACGAAGGTGGCTGTGGTGAGGATTGGTGGCATCCCGAGTGTTTAGTTGGCTTCACTCGAGAGGAGTACAGCAAGATGATCGAAAAACCTGAAGCTGAATCGAAGAATAGTACCACCGAAGCTATGGATGTCGACAAGGCAGCGGAAGGAGAGAAAAAGGCTAACGGGAATGCGGAAGAGACGGTGCCATCGAACGACACGGCTATTGCCGACACAGTCACAAGCAGCAATGGTGTCGATGGGAACGATATTGCAGCGGCTGGCGGCGAAGAAGAAGAAGAAGACGACGACCCGCCCCTACCTCCAGGATTTCCCGAAGAAGATGACTTTGACCACTTCCTCTGCTACAAGTGCGTCGCCGCAAACCCATGGATCAAGAAATATGCGGGCTCAACCGGATTCCTGTCGCCAGTATACTACGACAAAGCCATTGCGCTTTCCCACTCAGAGAAGGTCACTGTCGCTGCCCCAGAGAATGACAGCAAGAAACGCAAAGCATCCGATGAAGACGAAGAGGAGCAGCAGACTCCCTCGAACCTAGCAGCTCCTGCACCGGCTAAGCGTCAAAAGTCTGAAGACCCAAGTGGCGCCCTCTCCAGCATCCCCGAGGGCCCTCCCACCCTTCCTACACCTCCAAAGAAAGCCGAAGCACCAAAACACACCTCTCTTCCCGCCTTACCCGAACCCGCCCTCACAACCCCCTTCTCCCTCTTCTTCAAACCCGACTTCCGCGACCACCTCTGCCACTGCGATACTTGCTACCCGCAACTCAAACTGCACCCCCAACTCCTCGAGGAAGAAGACACCTACGAGCCCCCCGTCTCAGAAGACGGCGATCAAGGCGCGCAATCCGTAGGCACAGGCAGTATCCTGGACCGTGGCGAAGCCGCCTTCAACAACATGGATCGTGTTCGCGCCATCCAGGGCGCAATGGCATATGCGCATATTAGAGACAAGGTTTCTGCGTTCCTAAAGCCGTTTGCCGAGTCGGGTCAGGCGGTTGGGGCCGAGGATGTCAAGGCGTATTTTGAGAAGCTGAGGGGTGATGCGCAGGGGATAGAGGATGCAGCGGGTGGTGCAAAGGCGAGTCGCGATAATGAGGATGGATAGGTGGGTGGCGGTGGTGGGAAGGAGCAGAGTGGATATTGAGATTGGGATGGTGGGATAGGAAGGTAAGGAGGTTTGGAACATGCACGCTTAAGTGGATGATGAACACTTGAGATAAAGTAAATTGGAACTATAGTAATGAAATAATTCGAAATGATCGACTTGCGATTCGTAAAAAAAATGTACTAGTCAATAGATACAATAAATAACTCTCCGTTCCGCAAAACTAGGGGTATCAAATCAATCTTCGTTCTTCTCTCCCCCTCTATTACTTTTCTTTTCTTGGATAAAAAATATATTTACTACCTCACTACGCCGTAGCCGTCACAGTGACCGTCTCCCTAACCGTCTCCTTCTCCGTCGTCGTAGCCGTTACGGTAAAGATCTGGCTTGGTGGAATCGGGGTGATGATGAGGGGGCCTTCTGATGTTGTCGAAGACGAAGACGGAGAAGAAGGTGTGGGTTCAGGTGCTGGTGGCGGCGGCGGCGATGATGCGGACAGGATGGTTGTGGGTGCAGGTGGAGATGAGGTGGCATCTGATGTCGATGCGGGGGCTTCTGGAGAAGACAGGGATGGAGAGGGGGATGGTTGCTGTGAGGGTTCCGGGGTAGGAGTGGTGGACGGAGATGGCTGCGCTGGAGGCTCTGCAGGGGGTGCCGAGGACGAGGTTGGCTGTGCTGATGTTGAGCTTTCTGGTGAAGGAGGGGAGGGGCTGCTAGGGGCTGCAGGTGGTGTTGGCTCTGCTGACGATGAAGTTACTTCAGAGGCAGAAGAAGCAGCTGAGGAGCTGGGTGCTACTGGCTCGGGTGCCGCAGACGTGGCTGGTACTTGGGATGTCTCGCTGGGCGCCAGCGTGGCCATGACTGTCGTGAACGACGTAACGATTACTACTGGTGGGACCTGTAAAGAATCCGACGGTACAGCCAGAGCCGCTGAGCTGGCAACAGGTGGCACTGCCTCCTGACCTTCCTTGCAGCTTGTCATAGCCGGAGTAGGCGTAGCTGACCCTGATACGGGCTCCTCAGATGCCGTGATAGCCGCATCGGGTGACGGGGCAGAAACATACACAGTGGTGTATGATGTGACCATAATACGTGATGTCACGTCCGCCAAGTCACCTGTAGATCTCGAGGACGATACTACAGGTGAACCGCTAGAAACACTAGATGCTCCTACAGATGACGCAACGGTAGTCGGGCTAGAACTGTTGTTCGATGGTAGTTGACTTGGAGCTGCTGATCCAGGATGTTGAAAGCCAGGCATTCCTCCAGAGGTAGGCGCTAGTGCTTCACTGGTAGGAGGAGTGACTGAGGCTAGGGAAGCCGAAGACGCTTGCTCTATGGGCGAGTACGTGAATTTGGGATACTCACGACTAGTAACGCTAGCTGTACTGTTTTCAACAACTTTGACGGAGCTTGACAGTGCTGATAGGGTATCAGAAGAGAGAGTGGGGGTTGGGCTACTCTCGACTGGTGCTTGTTTTAGACCCGGCGTAGTGGTAGGTGTGGGTACCACACTGGATGATTTGGCTGTTGTAGGATTCTGTGTAGGTGTGATGAAGGATGTGGATAGAACAGTTTCTGGATCTTGCGTCGCCAGTGGTTCGCCATCTGGATTCACAAACGTGATACCTGGGGCTACTGATGTGAATATTGTTGGCTGAATAGGCTCTACTACTAGAGCAGTGTCTAGTTGCGCGACTGCCTTTTCAGATGTTGAAGAAATTATGGAAGAAGTGTTGAAGTATCCAATAAACCTATAGTTGCTTAGTGAGTGATTTTGCTGGGGTGGCTGGAAACGAGTGTCTTACTGGCGCCTCTGGTGGTTCCTTGGGACCGGCCCACCAACAACACATGTTGAATAAGCTGCCAGCAGCACGAGGTTGGAAAATATGGCCATTTCGAAAGCTTGCTACGATTAGGGTACCAGAAAGAAAGAAGAACCAACGGTGCGATACCAGCGCTTGGGAACAGATTAGTTAAAACGACAGACAGACTGGACGAAAAGACTGAGGAAAAGTGGACAGTGATATGAAACGACCGACAAGACAGAACTAACGAGAAGGAAATAAAGCACGGAAGGAAACAGGAAACAACGGGTCTCAGCTAAAGACAACCTAGACGTTCAGATTGCTATCGTGAGGGCATCACGGCATCTGGGCTGCCAGCAGTTTTGAAGCTGCATTAGCCGCCTTGAGCACGGTTTGAGCGCAGTTTGACCAGGCAATGGCACAAAGAGCGGTATTGGCCCAGCATGATCGCAGTAGTGAGTAATTTAGAGAGGCTGGTCAAGCCCCAGTGGAAAGTACGGTAAGTATGCAAAGAGTGGCTGTGGAGCACTGATGCGCTGGGTTGACGTTTCACCGCTGGGCCAATGAAACGGCGACAGGCCATAGTACAGCGACAGCGGCCAGGCGCTTCGCCGGAACAGTCTGGCCCCTCGACGCACACGACTGGCTGCGCTGCAAATAGCATCTGGGGTATGAGGCTCGTCGGCGCTATCCGACACCGTACCTGGCTTGTCGTGCTGCCGATGCCCATGTCCTGGGGGGGGGGAGGTGAGCGTGAGCGGGTCTTTTCGCATTGACAATGTGTCGCGGCATGGCTAGGCCGCGTGCAGGGAGCATTGAGTGGTTTGCGAAGTCATCATGACGGAGACCATGGACATTGTCGGTACCCAATTGTCAGTTGCAGTTGCATGGAGATCGATGGAATAGTGGATGACGGGGTTGGGTGATGGGGAGGCTGCACGTGCCGCTTGTTCTTCCGCCCCGGCGGTGACAGGTTGACGAGGCAACGCACCAAAAGCGACTAGGGGAGACGAGAAACGCGATGCGCGTGAGTGGGCCCTTTGAACAACGCAGACCTGCAGCGTCACGTAACGGTAGGCCCGGCATTCTCTTCTCTGTAGATTTAGGCTTGTTGTTTTCCGTCATCCTTCACCAACCATTGTCGTCGCCGGGCCACCACCATGAGCGTACGCGTTGTCGCGAGGATACGTCCTCTTCTGAAACAAGAGATCGATAAGGATACCATTGTCACGGCCGAGAAGCTCGAGGGCGAGACCACCCCGGCCGTTGTGCGCATACCGAGTCCCAAGAACGAGGCCGAGTCTTTCAGCTTCCAATTCAGCTCCGTCTACGAGCAGGACGCGACGCAGCAGCAGCTGTTTGATGCTGAAAGTGAGTATCCATCGCGCAACAGGGTGCCGTGGCCAGCATTGACCTTTAGCTAGTCGCCCCAACGGTAAAGCACCTCTTCAGTGGATTTGATCTATCCATCTTCGCCCATGGCTGCACGGGTACGGGCAAGACCCATACGATGCGCGGAGGCAAGTCGCTGGCCGACAGGGGTGTCATTCCGCGTCTTCTGAGCGCCATATTCCGACGATGCAAGAAGATCGAAAAGGACTCGGCCGGAGCCAACCAGGTAGAGGTCGCGCTAGAGTACTTTGAGATCTACTGTGATCGCGTCTACGACTTGTTCGAGCCACCAGAGAAGCGAACGCCCTCGGGTCTGCCCATCAGGGACAATCGCGGAAAGACCGTTGTCGTGGGCCTGACTGAGAAGCCATGCACGACACTCAAAGAGTTTGAACAACTCTATGACCAGGCCAATCTCAACAGGTCCACATCAGCCACAAAGGTAACCAATCTGCTCGCACGCGTCTGGGTAGAGCTCTGCTAACCGTCCTACAGCTCAATGCGCATTCATCGCGTTCTCACGCGGTTCTGTGTGTCAAGATTACCCAGACTACTGGAAACACTATTCGCGTCAGCCGCGCATCATGTATTGACCTTGCAGGATCAGAAGACAACCGCAGGACAGAAAACAACAAGGAGCGCCTGATTGAGAGCTCGGCCATTAACAAATCACTCTTCGTACTGGCGCAATGTGTCGAGGCTATGAACAAGAAGGCCAGCAGGATACCCTACCGCGAGTCCAAGATGACCAGGATCCTGTCTCTGGGTCAGAACAAAGGCTTGACCGTCATGATTCTAAACCTTGCGCCCACTCGCGCTTACCATCTCGACACTATCAGTTCGTTGAACTTTGCCAGTCGCACAAAGAAGATTGAAGTCGCAGAGGTGGAAAATGACCCGATGTACAAGACCACAGTTAAGCCTTTGGCGACAACGAGCAACATTGGCGGACCAGCCATGGCACGCCAACCGCTCCGATCACTGGTAGCTGCTACCAACACCACAATCGCAGATGCGGACAAGAAGAAAGGAGAAAAGCCTACAAAGGCCTTCTCTGTATATTCTGATTCCCGCAAGGCTGCTCCTCGTGTTTCTAACACTACACAGAATCAGGGCATTCGACGAGCGGAAGCTCCTAAGCGTGCAGCTGAGCCCAGCAACACTTTTGCGTCCCGGCCAACCAAGACTTTCCGCGCCGCGGACAATGCTTCACGGATACGACCAAATGAGTTAGCACTAACCAAGGAGACTATCGAAGCTCTCATCGCCCAGAAGGTTGACGAGAGGCTTGCAGAAAAGGCACTGCAAGACGCTACCAATTCTGCCCCAGCGCTATCAGCCGAGTTGCAGAAACGGTTGGATGAACTTGAGCAACGTCTTGAAGTCAAAGAAGAGGACGGAAAGTCACAGGGCTTGCAGTTCTTGTTGATGGCAAAGCAACACCACATCCGCGGTGAGGATGCAAGTGCACTGAGAATGTACCATCTTGCACAACCTTACTTCCCGGACAACGCCAAGCTAGAAGCCAAGATGAAGAAGCTGGAAGAGAAGATTCGCGCAAAGAGGGAAGAGACTCAAAGGCACGCCTCCATGCCCATCAGCCTACCCTCTCACCCATCCCCTGCCCGCGTGTCAAACATCATGCCCCCCAAAGTAGGAAAGTCAATCCCCAGGCCAAAAATGGTCTACCGCGACGAACCCGAAGAAGACAAAGACGACGAAGAATTCGCCCCTGCCCCACCCTCCGACCACGACTCCGACTCCGACGCCTCCGACGACAGCTTCCAGTACAAAACCAAAGCCCCAGCCCGCAAGCCCATGAAGACCACTAGGAAACTCCCCGTCTTCCGTGACACCGCCACCTCTGCCTCGACTTCTGTTCCCGTCTCCGCTTCCGCCTCTGCCTCGACTACTGATTCCGTTCCCCGTTCTAAGCTCCCTGTCTGCCACACACCCCGGACCTCGCACCTCCTCAAGATCATCAACTCCCGTGACGTAAACCAGATCAAGGGCCTCAAGGGTGTCGGCGCAAAGAAAGCGGATAGCATTGTCAACTGCCTTGTCGAAATGGATGATACTGAAATCTTGGATCTTGAGTCGTTGGCTATGCTCAAGGGTGTGGGCGGTAAGACGGTGGATAACATGAGACTTGGACTCAAGCTTGATGCCTCGTATGACTTTTAGATAAGTCGGGGCTGTGTTAGGTTATTCTTACTTTCGTCGTTTTGTTCGATTGCATGGTGAGAGTTTGGCTTTTTTTTTTCTATGCTTACTCGTCTTACTCTTTTTTTTATGTTCGCTCCATAGCGTGGTGCCCTGGCGTTTCTTGTTTTTTTTTAACTACAGTGGCTTGTTTAGACCACTAAAAAGGGCTCACCCACTAGTAAGTTGCATCTATAAGTGGTGTTTGGGATTTTCTAGGGTATGGCAGCGTTGATCTGCTCCCCTTCTTTTTTGCATAGATAGATGTGTACCACCGTGTAAGAGGTCTGATAATCAAATCAAATCAAATAGTTTTACTGATAATACTTTTGTGCTGGATCAATCCTCTCTTCTTCTTCTTCTTCTTCTTCTTCTTCTTCTTCTTCTTCTTCTTCTTCTTCTTCTTCTTCTTCTTTCATTCCACGTGTCAGAGTATTGTATGCACAATCATATGTACATAGGATCGATTAGAAACCATATCATTAGGGTAAAAGAAGGAACCACTACACATCACTCCTCCCATCTAAAAAGGCCAAACCCACTCTTCCGTCTCCTTCGGATCCACTCCCTCATGGAACGCATAATTCTTCGCCTTAATCTGCTCATCCAGCAGCTTCTCGCGCGTCGCCGCGCCCCTATTACCCAAGCTAGGAATGTTATCCAGCGCATCAATTGCCAAACTATAGCGATCAGTTCCATTGCGAATCGCAAGCTCAAGCGGCGTATCGATATTTCCCTTCTCCCTATACCCACGCACAAGCAAGTTCTGTTGACCCTTGCGGCCGTAGGTAAGACGGTGTACGAGCCAAGGGTAGGAATGGAAGTTGAAGATACAGGGCACGTTGTCTGTGAAGATGGCCTTGTACTCGTGAGCTTTGAGGCCGTGCGGGTGCTGTGAGTCGTCGATGAGTTTGAAGAGGTCGACGACATTGACGAAGCGGATTTTGAGGTCGGGGAGGTGTGTGCGGAGGAGGGCCGTGGCGGCGAGGGATTCGTGGGTTGAGACGTCGCCACAGGAGGCCATGACGATGTCTGGTTCTTCACCCTTGTCGTTGCTGGCCCATTCCCAGATGCCGACGCCTTTTGTGCAGTGGGCAATGGCTTGTTCCATAGTGAGGTATTGGAGGTGCTCTTGCTTGTCAGCGACGACGACGTTGACGTAGTTTTCGCTGCGGAGGCAGTGGTCCATTGTTGAGAGGAGGCAGTTGCCGTCTGGCGGGAGGTAGATACGGACGACTTCGGGGCTCTTGTTTGCTACCACGTCAAGGAAACCGGGGTCTTGATGAGTAAATCCGTTGTGGTCTTGACGCCAGACGGTTGATGTGAGGAGAATGTTGAGCGATGCAACCTTTTGCCTCCACTCGACTTCGAGACACTTTTCAATCCACTTGCAGTGCTGGTTGACCATGGAGTCGATGATATGAATGAAAGGCTCGTAGCTGTTGAGCAATCCATGCCTTCCAGAAAGGACATAACCTTCGAGCCAGCCCTGAAT